TGTTATTTCCGTCCTGGCCACCCCCTGACTCCCCACCCACTTTCCCCCCTCACGTAGTCTCTCTCTCTTTCTCTCTCTCTCTCCCCACGCCGACCCACTCGGCGAATCCTTGACGATCCAGTCCTTCAATCGTGCTGCGTGACAATGAAAAGTACAAATCACGTATCCGACTATGAACGACCTTAAGCTTTCGAAGAATACCATAACTGCAGTTACACATGTGCCTATAAAAACATGAGCAAGCATCAGTACGAGAATTAGACTGCTTTTATATGTTAATATTGATACTAAACTTTTTATAAAAATTGTGTCACACCTGTTAGAGCAGCATATGGTAATGTGCGGTTGTTAACCTTGTAAGGAATCAAGGAAACAATAAGGAATTTTTTGTTCACCTGAAGTCGTTTGATTGTTGGATCTCTAAGAAAGATTATGTTTACCGAACTGTCAATGCTGTGTAAAATACATAATTACAAACGTAAAAGCGAACCTAACCTCTTTCTCGAGATTCAAATTTACCGGCTACTACGTAGCGTCGTTCGTGTCTACTACGTAGTTCAAAGTCTCAACTATAAAGTTCGCCGACTGCTGGTATAAGATTCTTGCTCGCAGGTTGTGTTTGTTGCTCCATGGTTCGCCATCCGTAAACTTGGTAGCTGTGACGAGGTTATTTTAATCAACCATCCTCTGTCGGCCGGGCTTCGGAGTTCCTGGGTGATGGCTGCCGCTAGCGGAGGTGGAGGTTGTTCGGCGTTGAAGTGTGGGTACTGGAGAAGCGGAAGGGATGATTTACTAGAAGGTTGGTAGAGACGAACCTCTGAACGGAATGGAGAGGGACGAGGGCACGAGTTGGTCGGATGCACTGGTATTGTTGGATGTTATCATTTCTACAACATTTGCATTTCCCTCATCCACGCGGACCTCTTTGCGCCGGCGTTCAAAACGGGAAATGCCTCGCCATTGTAGAAATGTATAATAATACTCTCTTTTCAACCCTCGACCTCACCTGACCTCACCCGCCAACCATCCTCGTCATAATACACGTAAATATTACTCTGTTGCACTTTGTATTCACCGTAGACACCTCTCTCTGTCTCTCTTTCCTTTGCTTTGATAATATAATTTAAATTTTTCCAAAGAGAAAAATTGTAAACTTTTTTTTTATTTACTCAAAAAATAAGATATGTATGATTATCATTGGATTTTACGTTCGTTCGAAAATTCAATAGACTCAAAAATAACGGATACTTTCGGATTAGATTTTTGTGATCCATTAGTTGGATTAATCGATTGTTATCAAAATCGAGTGCCACTTGCGATTGGATGACGCATCTGTCATATTGGTGTACGACATATCTCTTTTGTGTCGTTTTATATCCGATTGGACTTCGTAACTCGAGTGGACTATGATTTTTTTTATTTTATCTAGGTAGTGCTTGATGATTTGAATCTGTCGTAGAGGCGCGACGGTCGCTTCGCGAAATATTCTATGGTTATAATTCGTGACTGAAACACGAAGAAAATATTTCATTTCCGCTTCTCTTTATCTACATGACGGATTGTCTTGCGCTCCGTTTATTTATGCATTTTATAAAAATGAAACCGGGGTTACATTATATTTGATTCTGCTCGACTGTACTGCGATGAGGTGCTGTTGCTGCAGGGTGAAGCAGGACGCCTGGGCTTGTTGGTTCGGGGAGTCAGCGGGGTTGCAGTGCAGCAGGCGCATAAATGAATAGAGCGCATCCGGCGGCGGGGAGCGGGAAAAAAAAAAGCTTTGTGCATCCATGACAAAGATTGGATGAAGCCCTGGCCGTTTTCGTAGACTGGTGTTACATAGAAATGTCGCGTAAGTAGTAGCTAAGTTAATAACTTGGCGGCTCGAAATGATCGACAGGGCCGAAATAGTAGGCGGTTCCTGCATTTTGCAAAAAAGCAGTGATTCTTAAAAACAACAAATAAATCAATTTAATAATTCATAATAAATAAATAAGATATTACTAAAAATGATCAAAAAACTGCCCACGTACCTACAAATATTTTTCTGAATTTTTTTACTTTTGAAAATTAATTTTTACAATTTTTCCTTCGTTTGGCACAACCATGTCGTACGACTAGACCAAAGGGATTATTATTTTAGAAAAAGTCAATTCATTCAGAGATATGAATGAATTCAGGCAATATTTTAGGGATGGAATAGGTGAGGGTTTCCGTGGGGGTCATAAAGGGAGTTGTCAGAATAGGGGGTGGTAGTTCGGATGGGGATGGTCGATGGGTAGCCTATTGTTTAGGTTTAGCACAATCACAAATGCTGGTTATAACGATAGCTATATGACATTGTTTTGCCAGGGGGTGGGGTGGGGGTGGGGTGGAGGTGGGATGGGAAGAGGGACGCTCGGTTGATCGGAGGGGTTTTTCGTGAGAGAGAAAGACGTAAAAGGGAGAGAAATATTCTCCGTAATGGTGAACTGGGGTAGATTGAGACTGCGGGGGTAGTTGTTGTTTTGCACACAGTATGATTGACTCAAAACGGGGGATGACTCTCGCGGGCGACCGGAAATAAAATCCCGTAATTGAGTTGCGGAAAATTTTACAACCCCCTCGAGACGCAGCCCCGATTTGAAAAATCAATTTTGTATAAAGAACAATACATTTGCAATCTTTGTACATTTAATTGTCTATTTATAAGTTTTAAGTTGACATTGCAAATTATTTATTTTTTGCTATTAGACAAAATTATTAATAGTCATTACTGTCATCGATGGTCACTCTTGGTTACGTGTATATATTATTGTCAGTAGGCGGAGCTCTGTTGGATTATATTGAGTGGAACTACCCTTACACTGTCAGGGGTGGCTTTCGACAAGGATACTAAATTAATAAGAGCCCCGTGAGTAACGCAGGGGCGGTTCTGGGCGGTAACACTGTGTCCAATGAATACGTCTCTTCATCTCATTACAGATCTGTTACTCTTCGATGTTCGAATACGGATACAAACCATCCCTAAAGCTATGTGAATTGCTGAGGACACCTGATACCTTATTCATTAAATGAAAACATTAACGTCTGGATTGATTGAATGAAAAATTTATTCTCTCGATCCAACCTCATTAAGCTACTTTTACCTTGACACGTATGCGTTTGATAAATATAAATAGAAATATTTCTATACGTATTAATATCTCAAAATTTTTTTCGTAACTGTTCAAGCCGTATCTTTCGATTCACTAAAATTTGCTGTTTTTAAAAATACCGCGCAACCACATTTTAATCGCAATGGCCAACGTAGGAGGCTCCTGCAACGTCAAAGAAACGAACTAGTCCGTTGCTCTTGAATGGCATAACCTAACAATTTAGACGGGTTTTAAATGTGAAACGTTACGCGTACCTCTACGTAGTATTCGCAGTCTAACGTTAAGCCGCTTTCTCGCGTGAGTTCACGACTATGTTTATGCTTATGTATATGCGGCCCCAATAAATGCCTCGGGAATATTTTGAATGGCGTTATGCATCTTTTCACTCGTCTAGTCGCCTTTGGAGCTCGTCGACGTATCCGTGGAAAAATGAGTGATGGACTCAGCCATATTTATTTTCATTCGTGGATACACCACACTACGAATGAACTTTTTGGACTGTTACATTACCCCGAGTTTATGTGATATTTTCTAAGCTACGTATTAACGTGTATATATTCCGTGCATAATAAATTGTTGCTTTAAAAAATGTTCAATCTGTCAATCCAGATGCCCATAATCTCGTGTAACGTTTGTAATCATTGACAGTATCATATTAAATTCAATAAGCTTACTTGATATCTTTTCTAACAGCATGTATTTCCAAAAGCGCATAACGTGTGATCAAGTAGCCACTATCGATTGAAAATTTAAAATTAAATAAAATCAATTAAACACAAAGTTATATGCGATACACGAATTTTACCTGGTTACCTGTGTCTAGGATCACGGACTTCATTGGTACAGTGGATACAGTGCAGTGAATATATAGGTTAGGTTAGGTTGATATGGTATATCTATATTAAAAGTCGGGCCCAGAAAGTGGTAAATCCTGTGGCATTGGTGGTGGTGGTAGTCGGGGTGGTGGTGATGCTGGTGGTCGGGCAGCATCAGACAGAGGCACATAGCCCCAAGCCATGTAATTCATTACTAAAGCAATCTCACCCTGGCACCCCTCCGAGAACCCGTTACTGCGCCGACTCTCTCCGCCCCTGAACCATCAGCCTCCCGCGCCACGTTATAATATAAAAAACCCGAATAGAATAGCGTCCTGACAACAAAACAAAATGAAACACAAAGCCGTGTTTTCATAATTAAAAAGATTGCGTGGACTTTTTTTTATTTTTATTCTTCCTCCTTTTCTTTTATGATCTCTTCTTTTTTCTATCTTTCTCCACTTCTTCTTATTTCTAGTCTTCCACCTCTGCCTTTGCTACTTCTTTGCTTTTACCTTCCATTTTTTTTTTTAGTATTCGCCTCGACGACGCTTGGTAAACGGCATTGAGGTAACGGGTGACGCAAATATAATTTGATCAGTTTTGAATGTTGTCTTCGATTCAGTTGGAGACTTCATGGAAGAGTGCGAGAAGATCAAGGTAATACTCATGTTTTATTATATTTTGATTTTATTGAAAAAATTGAAGTTGACGAGTATTCATGAAGAAATTGGTCTTCTTGACGCGGACGGTTTTAAACGATCGAATCGCGAACAGCAAAGCTTCAAGTTCATTTACGTCGTGGTTTAGCGAATTTTTACGACGAGGGTGTGCACCACCCCCATTTGCTCCGCCTGCCCTTAGGTTCCAACCAATCCCGTAGCAGTCACCCCTAGACCACCCCTGGTTGCTGGGGGTTGATCCGACTGTTCTACGAATCTCTGCTCAGTCTCTCACCATCTCCCGGACAACCGTAAACTCACCCTCGGGGCTGCACCAAGTCCTACGAAGTCTCCAAAGTCATCCTCGGGGAGTGAGACTCTTAAGAAACTTCAAATCCTTCGTGCAGTAAGGATACACGATCTTCGACGTCGTTTTTCAACATCCGGAAGACATGGCTGGACCCTATCTTTCACCACTGGGACCGCAGGCTGATCTTCTTACTGAGTACATGTTCGGGCGCCGTCGTCAGGTCAGTGTACGTTTCTTTTAAATTTAAACTTAACTCCAATTAGTTGAAAAGTTATTACCACTGTAATAAAGAAGTATACTTTTATTTGGCCGTCTATGTTGTGGTAGCCATTTTAGCGGTATACAAATTTATGAAGCTAATTAAACAGAATGTAGTGTCTTAGTTCTTTTTTGATGCTGAACCTTGCTAATATTTTACTTATTTTTTTACTCGCCACTAATTGGCTGTCAGTGAACTTTTATGGTTTTGGTCTAATGTTAGCATATAGTTGCTAGCTTGTTATTAGTATTTTTAATATTTATAATTTGTCTTATAACCAAGAGATTTCAAGGTACCTAAAACTTAATATTTTTCCTCACAGAGACGCAATCGGACAACCTTCACTCCTCAACAGTTACAGGAATTGGAATCTCTATTTCAAAAGACTCACTATCCCGACGTCTTCTTGCGCGAGGAAGTCGCCCTCAGGATTTCCCTTTCAGAAGCTCGTGTACAGGTAAATTTCAAGTGTCAAATTTGTTTTTCAAAAGCGTATAACTTTTGACAATTACATTGAAGTAATTTTAAGTATGTCGCAGTAATGATTGTCAGTGAACCTATAAAATGATGAACTTCATAATCAATATGGTTTTAATTTTATATCAGTATGTCTTACGTTAAATTTCTTTTTAGGTATGGTTTCAAAATAGAAGAGCAAAATGGAGAAAACAGGCGCGACTTCAACTGCTTCAGGATGCATGGAGGATGCGTTGCCTTGGTCTAGGAAGTGCTGCACCTCTTTTACTGCGTCCACCTCCAGGACCAGGAGTTGAGCGTCCTGACTCCTCGCCACCTCCTCCACCTTCACCGTCTTCGGCGTTGCCAAATCCTCAGATACCCTCGGGCGCTGAAAAAATTCAAGAGAACAGTTCCATGTCTCTCTGCAGGGATTATCGTATTTTACCACCGCACGGGTAAGCCTGACACTTTTAAAATTTAAAATGCACCATGTAGTAAATTCGGCCTTAAGGGGCCATCTTCTTGTAATTTGCAACCACAGAGTTTTCTGAATACATACTTTAATACGTATTGCTGTGAGATCGGATTAGTCGTGTTTCATAATGAATCACTGTATAGGAATTTTCTCTTGTTTTTCATTTGATTAACTTATTATTAACCTTTAGATACTCAGTTTCCTGCGACAAATCACCCGAAAGAATCAAGTGCGGATGTGGATCTCCACCACGGACTTCCGCCAGTCCCTCTGAGACGATCTCTGCTGTCAGTATGAGAGAGAGACCTCAGGAAGCTGAAATGGACCTCACCGTGAAGGGACCTCATCCTCAAAGACACCCTCAAATAACTCCTTTATTTCATCATCTTCCAAGTAACACCCAACAGGATATAAGTCCTGCCAGTCAATCTATGGACGAACCACTAGATGTTACCCTGAACAGTAGCAAGAACAATAATTAAAATTTTGTTTCAAATTTACATTTATTTTGCACAACAAACAATATTATTGTTCTATACTGCCCGGATGATTTGACCAGTATCAGTGTTTTTTATTTTACAAAAAAAAAACAATTTTAACAAAGTCAAAAGCTAATCTGAGATGTTTAGATTAACGATGATCACTCTGTCATGATTAAATTATGCGAGCGTGATGGTTTGACTGTATACCAAAGATTTTATTAAGTTTTTGTTTCCTTTTTTCATTCTATTCTATAAAATGACATTTTTGCATTCGTCTTACGTGTGATAGTGATCTTGAACGTGAGGATTATTCCTTAAAGTGTGAATCATGGCCTCGATAACAGAGGGAGTATAAATTAAGCTGCATTTCCAATGCAAAATGTATTTAATTTATTAATAGTTATCACTGTAAATACCTATTGTACGCTACCTACACGTACGTTGTTTAGAATTAGTTCATGGCGAAATATTGGCCGGGTAATTTAAACAAGGAAAGCAAAATGTAATTCAAATAAATTTCATGACTTAAGTCAAATGAATGTAACTTTAATTCGGTGACCTCTGTTGAGTTTTTCCAATACTAAACTGCAATGCAAAGTGTATTCATTTCTGGTGACAAATTTTATATAATATTATGACAGGTGACTGCGTTTCGCGTCTGTGACAAATCTATAAAATTTATTTTCAATGTCATAGGCTTGCCGCGTACCATTGTACAGATAATCGAGCGTTACCTGTGTTTTGGATGATCGTATCATCTGTACGTATAGAAAGAACCGTTATGTGGACGAATGTGCGCATACAAGATCCGTGCATAATTGCATAAGCAATGTAAAAGCCCACCTGCGGTGAATCCTTGCAACATGTGCAGTGAGTTGCAGTCGCGTATTAAGAATGGGTGCTAAATAAATGCAGGGCCCAGATTTTGAGTTTTAAATAGTAAAAAAAGGTATTGAACAATATTATCGCAATAATAAAATGTTGCTGAGTATGTTCCAATAATCTAATATACCTAAATAGTCACTGTAACCTGTTTTACCTAAAAATGATTGGAGTATGTGGCACAATTGGTACTTTATGTAAGTATGGTAATTATATGCAGAATATAGTTAATGTTGGATACAAAATTTGACAAGGTTCATAGGTCAATGAGGAACTTGAGAAAGTTTCGATTATAGAAAGTTTATAGATATTTAATCATTCTGCAAGAATTCGTCGTGCCCCCTTAAATTGTCCCGAAAGAGTACAGCACTGGCTGAACTCGTCACTGACTGTTTTATCTTATGCGGAAATGAATTCGTACAGTAATTTAAATAAACACCAAATCCCGTCGTTTCTTTGAAAACCGATCCTTGGATTTGTTCGTGATGATTAATTAAATTTTATTCGATCGTACGTAACGTGACAAGACCAACCTACAGGAATAAATAATTTAATTCCAACCTCAAATCAGTGTCCAATCAATCTACATGCAATTTATTCTACGACTGGCAAGACGATGAGGAAATAATTTTAATGAAAGTATCAAGTGTATGATGTGCTGGATTGCTCGTTGACAAGGCAAATAATGCAGGTCAGTACTAGAAATCGTAGCCGTTCAGTAATAAGAATGCCGATCGGGAACACGTGATTATTTTGAATTGGAACTCAAATACCACTAGAGATTTTACTTGTCGGTATGGTACACTAATTCAGTAGGTTGTTCGATAAACCTAGTGATATTAAATAAACCCGCTATGTTTTATACCAGTTTGACCCCGATCACTATACTTTCTCCTTTTTCGTACACCTACGCACAGAATAGGTTTTTTATCGTTACCTACACTTTTTACACATTTCAAAAAGTGCAAATTCTTATTGGACGTTATTTTTAAGTAAACAATAAGAATTCTTTTTGAAAAGTGGAGAAAGTGGGAGGTAACGAGAACAAACCTAATGTCTTATTCGATCAGCTTATTTATGTATCTACATCGATTAGGTAAAATAATACCGAGCTAATTTCGTCTACGATATACGGCAAAGAATTTTTATTGAATTTATATGGAAATATAAAATTTTAAAAATTCTCAGTTATCGACAATCCTTTTTTCATTGCTGATTCTGTATATGTTCATAGGAAATCGATTAATGAAGCAATTTCGAAGTTCAAACTCCTTCCTTATGAATCATAAACCAACAATTGCAAGCAACTTTATAAAGCTGAGTAACAAAACAGTAAAAATACCATACAAGTTACAAATTTGTCTAGTAATTAATATTTATACACTTTTTTCAATCACTCATTGCTACTCACACATTTCTTTGACACCTAAAAGCAAAAGTAAAATCAAAATATGAAAGTGATAGGTAACTAAAAGAATTATTAAACCTTTTTTCCTCAATATTTGAAATTAGTTTAACTATTTAGCTAATACTTAGACCAAATCTCTTATAATGTCAAACCTACAGTCATTATGATATTCTAATAACGTTAATCCACATTAATGACACCTCATTATCAATACGTTATCAATACATTACTAATACATTAAAAAATTATTAATAACATAAACTGCGGTTTTCAATACGACAAGATTATTCACAGAATTCCCGAGGTAGGATTTTTTATATTTTTTAATAATTTCTTTTCTATACTCTTTTTGGCAAACATTTGACTTACCGACGATATATTATACCGAACGCCTTTCTGCCACAGTTTGCTTAGATACGGACACACGGACCGCAGCTTATTCTATTCTCGAACTTCAGTTCTCCTAAGACCGGCGATCTGGCTGGGTCGACGACGTATACCCGGATGCACTCGGTGTCCACGAGTCACTAGGACATAATCATTTGTTCGGCAAGACTTGCATAAGTGGAACAGACAGAAAGATTTTTATCTATAGTGAAACAGTTTATACGACTTTACTATTGTTATTATCATTAACAATTACTTCAGCGACTATATTACTAGGTAAATATTTCTTTCTTACCAAACTCCAAAATATCTTGAACCTTCGTATACCCTCGTTAAATGCTGTAACACATGCACAGTGTGTGAGACCGACAGTGCTAGGGCCATTTTAGTATGTTATTTAGTAAAATATTATAAAATTAAGTTTACTATTAGATGGGAATGTGTAAAACGTTTTCCGTTTAAAAAAAAAACAAGGCAAACGTAAATCGACGGTCTGACAGACGAATGCGCGGGTATACGAAGATTAAACGTTACAATAATGCAAACATATATATTTTCCAAAATTTTCAGTGGCACTTTATCAACGTATTTTCTAAATTATCCTTTAGTTATCATTTATGACTGACAATCTGTTGATATCAATAATTATGTGTTTTTGTTGTGTCTAAACTGCACATGATATTGTGTTTGACACTAAATATACCGACAATTTTGTATAAACATATTTTTGGCTTTAAAATAGTCAAATAACTGCTCGATTGTATGTTTAGTGTTAGCGTTCATCAAGACTTCAGACTCCAACGATTTAGTAATGGGTTGTCTAAGAATAAAGTAAAAAAAGATTGATAGTGAAATAAGAGGTCGTCACGGTTCTTGAATATCGGTTGGAACTTTTCCTGACTAGTGCAACTGTAAATTGATTTCTGCCACTAAAGTAGATCGAAGATATCGCTTTATGTTTTGCAGATTGACATATTGCACATTTAGTTTATTTAATACGTGGAATACAATACGTAACAATGCGATAATACTATCCGATTGTCGACTTCCTGGTAGGTTTATCTTATCCACTGGAAATGGCGGTAAATTCAAAAAATAGAAACAAGATATCCCAGAAAATTCGTTTTTGAAAATTACTACGCTATTTATACAGACGGGTTCTAGTCAAGTGGTTGTATTACGTGTATGCTAATTATACAGATGTCACATGATGTCTTGATAATGCCAATTAATTTATCAGGAACATTAATTATTACTGTGACAAGTACGTGTATCTCATTTTGATGTAACAAACGTTCTGTTCGCTTAGATTCCTTTGCATGTGTTATCTGTGGTCATGTTTATGATAAACTGTATCTCAAACATTAGCTGACCAATGAAATTTGAGATTTTACTTTGTTTTGTGCTAAACACGATACGTCCCTTATCACCATATTTTTAAATATCTTTCTACAGTTTTATAATTGATTTATATAATAAGGAAATAGATAATAGTTAATAAATTGAAGTAACATGTTTCACAGATAAAATGAAGACTGTGTTTTTTATCTGCATTCTATTGGCCCTCGCAAGGAAATCGCATCAAGCATCGTAAGAATTGTTATTATTTACTTTGAATAAAATTGTTTTTACTTATAAATAAATAAAAGTCATTAATAACCGACAATTAATTGTAATTTTGCAAATTTCTAGTTTTTACAGAACTTACGAGTGCGTCAACAATTTATGCCAAAGAACGGCACGGCCGTTATCATTTTCGGAATTGGGTGACATAAGTTCAAATAATATTTACACAACTGTTGCTGCTTGTCGTCTGGTGTGCAGCAATACAGCTGGACTTTGGCCATTGCCAACTGGTTCCTTGGAAACTGGAACAAACGTAAGTTTTTCTTAGTTTTCAGGACTTCTGTTCACTAACTAGTTTACTAAAGAAGAAAGATATTAATTGTCATTGTATGGTCATTTTAAAAAAGTACTTGGGCGTTCATCCGTCAAACTTCCGCTTCGATATGCAAGATGTCGCCAGTGGAGCCAGACCATTCGTATCCCAGAGCACGAATATTTTTCTGGATAACTTGCGACCTGTTTGCGACGAGGACTGCACAATGAGGCAATCTACGGTGATGGTTCACGTCAAGGTCAACTCATCGAATCTTAACCTTGACTGGGATACAAATGAGCAGTACACCCTGAATCTTTCGACAAAAGGTTTCTGCCTCAGGATAATGTGTAACTTAAAAACATTATACTCGTTATCTTTGTTCTCTTGAAAACAAAGGATTTTTCTTTGCAGGAAATAATGTTACCGTCATCATTGTTGCGATGACTGCTTATGGTGCTAGGCACGGGTTGGAGACTTTGTCCCAGCTGACGGCGCCCATTATTACTCCAGACGGAGGCCGGGGACTCGTAATTCTGGACTTTGCTGTGATCAAGGACAAGCCGGTGTTTCCACATCGTGGATTACTTATCGATACTGCCAGAAACTTTTTACCCGTTACCGACATCCTTAGGACTATCGACGGCCTTGCTTCGAACAAGATGAACGTCCTCCATTGGCATGCTACCGACAGTCAAAGTTTTCCTTTGGAAATTAAGAGTGTGCCGTTAATGACAGAGTAAGATAAATTGTCAGTAATGCCGGTGTTAACTATGAATACTTATAAGAGGAAATAAATGAATATTTGTATTTTATAGATTTGGGGCTTACGGGTTAGACAAGATTTACAGTGCCGAAGATATGGCACAGATTGTGATGTATGGTAAGGCCAGGGGCGTACGCGTCATCCTGGAATTAGACTCGCCTTCCCACGCAGGAGCAGGTTGGGAATGGGGGGAATCAATTGGATATGGAAAATTGGCTGTTTGCGCGAATCAACAACCTTGGAATCAGTTTTGTATACAGCCACCTTGCGGACAGCTTAATCCAGTGAATCTAAGAACCTACCGTGTCCTGAGGTCAATATATAAGGACGTTCTTGAAATCTGGGGCCACGAGAGTGTCCTTCATCTAGGTGGAGATGAGGTAAAAACATTATTAGATTAATCGTTAGTATTGGTTTCATTTAATATTATTGATATGTTGCTAATTGATTGATATAATAAACAGAATTTATTTATTCTTAGGTCTTTCTACCTTGCTGGAATTCCTCAGTGGAAATAATTTCAGCAATGCAAGAAAGAGGTATGAATCGTAGTGAGGAAGACTTTCTGAAACTCTGGGGTGAATTTCATTCTACCCAGGTACAGATGCTGGACCAAGAACGAAATAGTAATAGTATAAGCGCCATAGTATGGAGTTCGCATCTCACTTCACCTGATATCATTGAAAATCATTTGGACAAGAAGAGATTCGTGATACAGACGTGGGTCGAGAGGAGTTCTCCTTTGCCAAGAAAACTTCTGAGACTGGGCTATCGTCTGATCGTGTCTACCAAGGATGCTTGGTATCTGGACCACGGTTTCTGGGGCACTACGACGTACCACACTTGGCGTGATGTCTACAACAATAGATTGTCGAGACAGGTAGGTCTAATTTGATTGTATCTAATTAACAACCGCCTTAGTATTCATTACCTAACTGAAGATTATCATCACCAGATTAATCTTCAGATACTGATGTGTCTAATATTATTAGTGAATTTCCTCATTACAGGAAGGTGTACTCGGTGGTGAGACTTGTATGTGGGGCGAGTACGTGAGTCCTGGAAGTTTAGATGCACGAATTTGGCCAAGGACGGCAGCCGTGGCTGAAAGATTGTGGAGTGACCCGCAAAGGATATCAACTGCGGATGCTGAGCCACGTTTAGAAGGTCAAAGGAAACGTCTTAAATATCTTGGAATATCTTCAGACGCTCTTGCGCCTGAATGGTGCGCACAGCATCCACGGCAGTGCATGTAACTCCGATAAGCTTGGGTTACCTATGGATATTCATCTGATAACATAGGATATTAGAAGATCCAATGATACATACAGAGATACTGGAGGACTCTTGCTCAAAATGTTTTTCATGCTTGTACAGATGGTCACGAGGAGACGTTGAAATTGCAAGGCGGGTCTGGAATTTTTTCAGAACTTAATGTACCATTAACTTTCATTATCGACGTGATGCTTTTTCAGCTGTTTATCTTGACTTACTACTCAATGAATAGATGCTGTTCTCTCGGTTTATAAACGTAATATTAGTCTGGCGGCTATATGTTGCATCAAGCTAAGTTGCGCAACGGGTTTATACATTCCTTTTGTGGTATATACATATTCTGCTGCGCTTAACGAGAATTTTTTACTGTCTCTGATACGCGAAAGGTAACGTCTTCTTTTTTTTTAAATATAAATCAGACAATTTTGTAAATAGTTATATGGTTAGGAAATGAAATGAACTTATTTCATTTTAGTTTCGAATGGTTTTATGAAAACATGCTTTATATATTGTTTTCACATATGTACTTGTTTCTTGTCGTTGAAATACGATCAGCAAATCTGAAATAGATAATTTATTTTTTTAAGAAACTTTTGTAATAGTATATTTATAAATCATTATTATCGACTGTTGGTCAATTTTTTGATATTGAAATCCCAGATTTTAAGGCAGACTTATGCCGATAAAGAGCAGTTCTTCCAGGCTTGATCAAAAAGTAATGGCAGAGATGATTTGAAAGTCTATGATAATATTGTTGGATTAAAATTATTAATTTTCGCTTACAGAACTGCCAGTGTATATTTTTAAATACTCGCGCTGTATAATCAGTTAGCTAATATGAGAGATAAGGTAGAAAGATATTCCTATCCAAGAGAAAACTTGCTCGAGAAGAATCGTTTCTTACCTCTCACTTCTGCTAATTGTCAAGCAAACTCTTCTTTTTGTCTTTCTTTATACTCACTTTCGCACCAAGCACGGAATATATGCCAGTAATAACGTTAGCTGTATTGAAACATCAAAAGAGATTCAAACATGCAGGACACATGCGCCACTGACGTAGCAAACTACCAATCGCTACGTAGGTCTTAAAAGTGGGGATAACTTCCACAGCAGATCCAGGCAGATCAGACAGAAATTCGTTTCAATTTATTTTCATTTAGATTATTTCGCGAAGTGGTTGAAAGTCTCGCGATTGTTGCGATCGATCTTCGAAACCCGAAATGGCAGTCTTATCGACGCGGTATAGATCGGATTTGCTTGTGGTTTTCAAAATAAGTGCCTCAGATTGATTCTTGTACAATATTTCATATTATAATATAAACTACACGTAGGAAGTGCGGTTAAAAGACATTCAAGAGTGTGGTGAAGTGTCAAGGATATAATGTGAAATTTATTTAAAATCACGGGCCGGTACGCCTTGTCAGATCGCGCTGTTTTTCGTGTGAGATAGCAGTTTAAAACGATTGTAATAGTTCTATCACTTTCAATTAAATTACTTAGTTTAAACTAATGAAATACAAAATGCAGTATTGAATTGTAAGGGTTAGATTCTTCCGCTTATACTTACGTGTCGAGCAATGTCTCTGATTTTTACAAAGTGCACAGAATATCCTTGTTGCGCTTACCTAGAATAATCATGAGTGAAAGTACGCGAGAGCGGCCTAAATAAATTTTAAACTGAACTCCTTGGTAATTATTTCAAGACTTATTTTTTTTATTTGTAATCATGTTTATTGGCTCATGTGTTTGTCACTCCTGTATACCCATCTTATATAGTAACTGAACATTAATAATGACTATACAGAGAATATTTCATATTTTGGTATACAGGAACAGATTTTTTTTTACGACTTTTCATTTGTGTTTTAAAATGTTAATCTAACTTCAAGGGTTCTATAGAATTTGATTTGATTATAATAGAATGATGTTCAAAGTATACGTAACCTGAAGAATTTAATGTTATTTTAAGGTAACTGCAGGAGGGTTATGGCAAGCATGGATATTATAAATATAGAGGGTGGCGAGATTGGAACACGTCCATCAAAGAATTCATCATCACTTCGTTGTAACTGCATAAACTCAAATTCCATTAGCTATGTAATGATTACCATTGCAACATTGGCATTCCTCGGGGCCATTGTTTTCATTTGTCGAGATTATATCAAGATTCTACTTTATTGGATAGAGCATCAAAACTCATGGATAGTGACAATTATTTTTATTGCTCTCTTTACTCTTGTCTCATTCCCAATAGTCATTGGCTATCTGTTTCTTATTATCGCAAGTGGATATCTCTTTGGTATTGTGCGTGGCATTATGATGGTAATTCTTGCTGCTAATCTTGGCATCGCCATTGCACATGCTACTCTGAGTGCACTGTCTTCACGTTTACCCATTGGTGCACTGCTACAGAGTGATACTGCAAGAGCTATACTCAGGGTGATTTCTGGACCACAGGCATTTAAAGTCGTGCTCTTTGCAAGACTTACTCCAATTCCTTTTGGGCTACAGAATACTATTTTTGCAGTGAGTATCTGCATAAGATATAAAACATTCATTGTGTATTTAATTTTTTCTTTATAAGCTGCAGAAGATTAATGATTGAAAGTATTACAATGTACAACTTTAAATACAGTACACATGATATTTTATCACATTACTAATCAGTCCAGTGATCCATCATATACATAAATTTATATCAACACAAATCTAGTTATCAATATTGCTTTAGTATCAATTAATTATAAGTTGAATACACATTTATATAACTGATATAATGTTTTTTCATCCGATAAGTATCCTAACATGATGTACAATCGTTATCTAAAAATCATTACTAATACCAGACGCATCAATCACATCAGCTTACTATGATATTAAATATCAAAAGTTTATCTTAGCTTTATATAATCAATGATAAGATAATATTTAAGCCACTATTCTCATTTAAATATTAAAAGTAATTTATAAGTTTTAATATCTATTAAGTGGCATTGATTCTATCTCAGTCTCTAACTGATAATGTTACCTGCATATAAATTAGTAACGGTACATATAAGACAAACGAAAAAAGTACTGTAATAAGAATGGCAGTAGAGTTTCTGTTATATTACACTAATAAAATTAAAAAATTTAAATCATCACCTTCATTAAAAAAGGATGTCGCAATATAATTGGCAATAATTGATTTGATCTTATTTAAAAATCCGAATATATTATGTTTAGGTGAGCAACATAGGAGGCATCCGATACCACATAGCCAGTGCAATTGGGCTTCTTCCTGCTCAACTTATCAACGTTTACTTAGGTAGCAGTTTGCGGTCCATGCAAGATGTTTTAGAAGATAGATCAACAGCAGCCACTGGCTACATAGTATTCTGTTTTCAGGTAACTTTCACTTGTCACGTCTCCCAAAAAAAATGGTCTAAATTCTCTTCCTTGACCTATATAGCAAAGTTTAATATTCTCAGTAAACAATCGTTAGACGTGAGAATTTTAATAGTGCTGAAAAATCTTGAAAATGCGATCTTGACTCAGCGCCAAGTTAAGAACAAAAACCTCTTCTTGGTTTATTCATAGCATGCATCTCAAAATTTATAATAGCATCTCGAAATACAATGATACATACGAAATATAATAAAAAATGATTAAGTGATCTTTATAAGCTGACCAATGGGCTTTTACTGATATAAATGATTGATCTATAACAGATACTGGTTGGTGTCTCGCTAATGGTCTATGTCGTACAAAAAGCACGTAGAGAACTTCAGCTGGCACTGTTGGAAGCTGACCTTGCATCCATGGCAGATACTTCGTATTTCCTCTTGGATACGCTACCCGACTCTAAGATTGTGCTCTCTAATCTTGTGGCCTAATCGCGTAATTACGCATCGAGATACCGGAAGCTGATGCAAGGATGATTAGTAATTACAGACAATGGTATTATCAAGAAACGAGTCTCGCATTTTGATCTGCTGTAAATACGTTTGGCAGTTTTGTGAAATATGAGAAATCTAGGTGAACCTGATAAAGGCATTATGATATTAACGAATTATTAATAATTTCCTTCAATTGGCGGTTGCATAATATCAGAATTGGATTCTTGTGAACGTGCAGATTGCTCGAACGAACATGACACGTAGAGAATTGAGGAAAAATACCTTTTTTTGCTCCTTCCTTTTCGGCTAGAACAATACTAATCGAATAATTTCAGTGCCAAAAACCAAAGTTAATTTATATACATTTATTTTCTGCGTCTTCATTATTTTTCTTTCTGTTATTTCGTCGAGTGTGATCGGAAGTGCATTTACGTATTTCTACGTTGTAATCAAAATAATACAAAGAGTAATCGTTTATTTTATACATATTTAACAACGACCCGTTGAACCCAGCTATTCGTAAATTGTAAAATGATTTACACCTACATTCTTTTTTTGCTTTTGACAAGAAAGAGCGTTACGTAAAGTGCAATTCTTTTTACGAGTTTCACAGCTTGCAAAGTGCATATTTAAATGCATTCTTAAACGTATTTCTCACGTAAAGTTATGACACCATTATGCATTACAATAATTATAGTAGGTTAGCTACGTAATGCATAACTCAAAAAATTTTTTACTCAAACGTAAATGAAACTCCAGTCCACATAAATTACATGGATGAATTAAGATAAGTTGTGAAATTTTGAACACGTGGATGTCGTAAGATTACAGAATTTTACGAAGAGGCTGTACAAGTGCTTGAATAATTTTCAAAGAAATTCTCCCCAGTTTTCTGCCAAACCAAAAATGAAAAAGTTACTGAAGTTCGATTTACAATTTTAAGGCTCTCGTGCGACCTTTCCCTTTACGTGGCTTTTGAGACTAATTATTTATTTATAACTGTATCGATGCCCTTAACAATTATTAACTGTAAATGCGGATTAACATCGAATGAATATATGATGTTTTTGCATAATTAATATGAAATGATGGAAGGTACCAAGTTGTTATTGCCAGGCAAAATTTCTGAACGGAGTACACGTGTAGCTTTTTCGCTAAGTGTACTTTAATGTGCATATTTAAAAATAGATGTGTATATTATCATTATTATTCTTCCTAAACATTCTATCGTACACTTCGCGAGAAACCACGTCGCACCCGTTAAGATAATATTTACGTTTTCAACGAAACTGTTTTCGATGCATTTCTTTTTCTGTTTAATAAGTTTATACGTTTCTTCTTGTTGATTCCAATAATATGCAAGTCTTCCAATATCCCATACAGGCGTGATACTGTTAACCTCACGCAATATACTTTGCGTTTAGAATTTCTGACAGAGATATTGTAAAAACCTGAAACTTGTAAATTTTCGAAGAGCTCATCATAGAATAGAAAAGGAAAAAAAATTTAGGGATTATTAGGTTCAGAATAAAATCTCATAATTGTAATCGATTATGTACAGACTTCCTCTTAAGCGGTATTATAATGATATAATGTATATTTACACAATATATCTATATACCATATGTGTATATATATACACACGATCAAATATATTTATGTTATTAAGCAGATGCGACCTTATACTTTTACCCATTTGGCAAGGAAGTTTTATAATTGTTATTGGAAAGCTTTGGAATTAATCTCATTCTTATTATCTTCTGAGATAAGGCAAAATGAGAAATTTTGCATTGAATTTTTAGCAAATGCAATTTTCAATTTCATCTACATTATATTGGTATATGTCGTAAATGCATTTATAAAAAAAAAGTAATCGTTAATAAAATATTTTTAACAAATAGTACTGTATATGTTATTTCGTTTTCTACAATATATTCTTTTCTATTGTTTCCGTTATTATATAATAATTAAATTTATTCCACTTCATATGATGAAGGTACTGTCGAAAATTGGATTGCGACTTCAATTGCACATTCGTGTTTCTTTTACATTAATATCCTCTTTGAAGTGGAATTGAATGCACCGCCCAATTATAGTTACAATCTAGCACAGCGTATAAACGTATAAAAATGTATAAATCATATCAGGTATGTCAAATAGGAAACTTACTAATGGACTTTGATTTTTAATTCCACAAGTCCAACGTAATATTCTAACGCTTAACATTTAGCTGCAATAGTGTTAATCAATTATCTATGAGATTTCTATACATTGCCCGTAAGCATCTATGACACAATAAGCCACAGAACAATTTTATACGTAGTAAAACATCTTTTCAAAATAATAGCCCAATCTAATGTGACTATCACGTTGTTAAATTGCACTGCAAAACACAGATTCCTTGTCAGTTAAATACTTATCTTGATGAATCTCTATGGCTCTTTTGATAACCTCCACAGTAAAGTCCGCATCTGCTATAGTCACGCACATGGGCGGTTTTATTCTCAAAACCTAAAATAATAATTAGACAAATTAGAACCCAATTGTAACTGTTATTTATACTTTTTTTTATAAACTGTGCAATTTTTTAATTACTCCAATTGAACATACAGTAGAACTTCGACTAAATATTTCGACTAGTAGAATCTCAATTTAATGCACACAAACTTTTAATGGCTATTATATACGAATTAGTACAAGCACTAAGAGCAACAAAATTTCTATTTCAGTCGTGTGTTGTACCTCACACGAGCAACCGTGATAAGTCAAGCGGAAGCCGCAAAGGCCCTCGAGAGGGGCATGGTTGATCCAGTCCTCGATTAATCGAGGTTTTACTGTCATAATCAATTTTTGTGTTTTATGATTCCAGTCATAAATCAAGCCCTTCAACTTACATTAGTATCCAATCCACCTTTTCCCAATAGTACACCCATATTTTTAATATCCTCAAATATCTCCATCATCTGTTCGTGCGGTAGAGGCTTCCTAGTTTCAGGATCGCTGATCAACTCCACGCCAATCATCAATCCCTTTCCACGGACATCGCCAATCACCGTAGGATGATCAAGTCTCAGGGCGCTGAGACGGTGTAACAAATGCGTTCCCACTTTCCATGAGTTTTGCTGAAGGCCTTCTTCCTCTATGATCTAAATAACAAAAAAAGATTTCGGTAAAAAAAACTCTTTGAAATAAATTACCAATCAATGACATTCATTGCGACTGATGGTGCCGAATAAAAATAAAAATTAAGTTACATCCTGAGATCAGAGGTTAAATAGTGCTGAGTGAAACTGTTGCACAAGATTATGTATACACAAGGTTATCGTAATGTCATATCCGGTTGATTATAATTTTAACAATGAATATATTTACATCAAGTACGGTGGATCCCACAGCGCAGGCCACAGGATTTCCACCAAACGTATTGAAATGCAATGCTTTGTTGAGATGCTGTGCTATTTCACTAGTAGTCACGACAGCTCCCATAGGGAAGCCATTCCCAATTCCTTTAGCCATGGTCACGATATCCGGTTGCACACCGTGTCCTTGGAAACCCCAAAAATGTTCTCCTGTTCTGCCAAAACCAGTTTGCACTTCGTCAATGATGCACAAACCGCCATTTTTGTGAATAAGGTCATAGACTTTTTTCAAGTATGTTTTTGGATACTGAACTGCGCCACCTATTCCCTAAAATAAAATTATATTTAATTTAAATCATTCAAGGATTGAACACGTCTCTGTCTAGAATTTAATTAATGAACTACTGGGCTTCCCGCACGGTAGGACAACCTTATAACAACACGTATGTCGCAATTAATTAATCGTCAAGTCGTTGAACTTTCTCCATTTTTAATGATCAAATCCACGTGCTACGTCGCATACGTATATTACAACAGCGTATAATGTGTAAACAAGTCTACTTGATATTGGACAGCCTACGTGACTAATCCCACGCCTGCATTATAGAATAGGGCCTTTTTAATATGGCGATAAAGATCTATTATGCTTCAGCAGATATTATGCTTATAGATAGAATCAACAAAATATAAAAGCTATAGTCAAAACAATTCACTAATAAACTCGTCATATATTAATTATATATAGAGTGTTAAGTAAATAACTGTGACTTGATTACTTGTATACTCTCAGCAATGAAGGCTGCAACCGAACCATCGTTGGGTAATTCAAACCGGAAGGTCTCTTCGAATTCAGCGAAATACTTATCTGCCGCTAAACAATAGTCATCGGTACAGTCGCACTTTCTTCCACCAGGTGACACAGGACTGTCTCTACAGTGCGATCCTCCCCAACGACCTCTGTATACGTCAGGATTCATTACCTGAAATAAATACCTCAATGACTCGTCTTCATAAACACTACTCTGAGCTGTCAGAGATACCGGTATTAATAAATTATGAGTATACTAACGTGTATATGACCTGGCGGTTTACAAACAGGAAACCTCCAGGTAGACATAGCTGTAGAAGCCGAGGATGCGTAGCTTCCGCCGTGGTAACAATTATTAAGGGAAATAATGTCCTGCGAGCCGGTATACAGTCTCGCCATCAGGAATGCCAACTCCGTAGCTTCGGATCCACTATTAACCAAATAAACTACGTCGAGTTCCTTTGGCATTTTTCCTATCAATTTCTCTGTATATTCACAAATTCGTGGATGCATATATATCGACGTGGTGTGACCGAGTTTCGACATTTGTTCAGTAGCTGCAGCTACCAGTTTTCTATAAAAAGATTTCAATCGAATTATCCACTATACGATTTCACCCAATAAAGTCTTTCTGTCGATTCGATCCAAGCGCCTTGAGCATCTTTGCGTCTCTGTCGAATTCACGCTGATAAATAAGGACCCATAGCAATGCTCCAGGGACTTGGACTGAATTATATAATAAAAATAAACTGATACAATACATTGTCACTCTTAAGCATCTGATCCGGCGACACATCTGAATAAAAGCCATACATGTTTATTGTCTTTTAGATAACGTTGATATAGACTACACAATATTGAAGCATATCAATTTATCAAATAACTACTGAGATATTATTGTTGTCTTACGCTAATCTTGAGACTTGAAAATTAATTCAAGGCTTTATTACCGAGCCGAAGTGGATGCAGTAAGAGGAGACAGTTAATAATAATTGTAGAGTAATTATTATTACGGGTGGCAATGGCCCACGGAGACTGTTACAATCCCGCCAAACATGTCAAGGTATCTTTTGCCCTTGTGATCCCATAGCCATTGACTTCGACCCTGATGAATCAGCAGAGGCTCTTTGTAAAATGGCCTTACACTCGGTGATATGTTACTGGCGTACGAATTCTTTACGCGTTCATATTCAGCTCCCTGTTTAATCAAGAATAATTTTATCTTGTATATGAAAACCTACTGTAATTTGAATTTTCGCGGTTATTCAGGCAGCTCATTTTCAGAACTTACTTGATACGCAGGTGCATTGTACGGACAAGATGGTATTTCTGGTAAAGTTGACGAAGTGCAGAGTTTTCGAAGCTGATTCCAAAGGGACGTATTTACTGAGAGCATACAAATATACGAGTTACAGTGAGAATATTAATTTACTCCTTACGATTATATGCTTACGTATTGTTGGCTTCATGTTTATCCAGTTGCACACATATAATTATTTATGTAGAATGATTGGAGAATGTTCATTAGAGCGTCATTTGATCGGGGCACTTTAATTAACTAATATTTTTTTTACGTTTAGTGCCAAGTGCAACTTATATTTTTACATTCATAGGAGAATCACAAGTATATGTTGTTTGTTTTATTCTATAATACGTGAAAACGTCTCACTCGTTCGAATGCGTATATGATACTGAAGTGAACCACGGCGCGATTTTGCATTTGAAAGTAAGGCAGATGCGTGCGCAGTTCGTACTGCGATGTAAACAAGAATGCTACAGTGCACGTAGACCAGTTATATTATCTAGATATTTCATAATTATCTTTCTTTTATCTGAATATGTTGCTGCTGCATAATTGAAATTCCTGCATATGCATTACCCTGTCATCTAGATTGTTATCTCGTGTTTTCGAAAGGCACAACAATACGCCTTTTTTTACTTGGGTACAAGAGACAAAAATTATCACAGTGAAAGGGAATGTTGCATTGTATTAATTTTTTTGTAATAAGAACAATTGATTGGCAATTGATGGCCTAAAAGTTAGTTCTACGTACGGTATTATTTATTACAATTAACATATAAGGCGTGGTCTGCTGATGAATGTTTTTTATTGCTTCTTTTTAGTTTGAAAAGTCTTGGATGTTTTTCTGGGTAGTGCATAGTAAGTGTTTTTACTATTTTATATATATATTTGTACAGGTAATATATTAAATGCGAACAAAATTGCATTTTATTTACAAATGTTACAATTGTTACTAAGAGACTAGAGTTCAGTTTTTTTGTCAGTTGGATTTTTTGAGTCTTCTAGTCGGCCCTGAACTTTTTCCCCACTTTCTATGGCATTAACGTCTGAAGTTTTCACTTTTAAAGTAAAGATCACAGGAATTTCAGATAGAATTGGATTTTCATCTTGCAGACAACGTATCCAGGACAGTAGAGAATCTTTGCTAGATGTTCCTGTAGCACATACTGCTAATATGGTTCCATCTTCCTGTTCATGCACCGATGAAAGAAATCCTGGGACTTTAGGCTCCTCCCAAAATGGTATTTTGATGTTGGTTACATCTGAAAAATATAATGCATCGTCAATTTCTTGTTACCTCGCATAAAAACTGATTATTCTTACCATCGGCATCATATTCAGATATTGGTTTGTCGGTCTTTGGCACAGGATCTGCTCTTAGAATAAAATAATCCACTGTTACATTACGCATCCAGACTTTAAAAGGTCCTTCTACGTAAACTGCAGTATTTACAGGATGCTTCTTCAGAAGTTCCTTTTGTGTTGGACTTATGCTTGATACGATCCATGTTTTATCTACAGAATCTGGTACTTTTTCTGTTTCATAGACTATGATTTCTCTCTCAGGATCTACTTCAGATATTTTTTTTATAGCTTGCTTGGCGAGTTCTATTGCGTTACTAAAAATCTCTTCTGAAAACTTGTAGGGATTTAGGTTTTTAAACCTGGGCATCCAATACATCATTCTCCAGTATTTTCTTAGTGGTATAGCACTTTTACCGAATATATTTATAAGCATTGTTTCCATTTCTCTATCTGGAATAACTGAATTATCTTCCATTTGTTCCAACAAGTCAACTGCACATTGTTGCTGCTTGGGATAATGTAAGAATTCTACTTGAAATACATTTGTAGGAATAAATTTTCCTTTAGGTAGAACGTCTATGAGCTTTTTGTAGGCTTCCAAATCTCTATGGACACCAAATTCCTCCATATATTTCATAGCTGAATAAATAAATTCAACGTGACCTCTCCTGTATATATCACGGCTTATATACATCCTAATGGTTTCCAAATAAGTCTCCTTCTCCTTCTTTTTAACATTTTCAAACATATACATCACTAAAGCACTTTGTGATTTTGCACCTTTTTGGGTTTCGTTGTTCTTCTTTGATTCTCCTTTCTTTGTTTCATTATCTGTCTCTGACTCATCTTTCTCATCCTTTTTAAAAGAAGGTACTGTCGTATGAATGAAATTATGTACTATTATCGGTGACATAGTTCTAATATCTTTTCTAATAAAATTTTGGTCTATCACTGAACATACTTGCAATATAGATGTTGGTCTTCTGATTATAGAAGACATGTTAGCGATGGACTTGGTTTTAATAGCTACTTTTAATATTTGTAACAAAAACATAGAGTGCTGTTTAGTGATATGTTGAGAGGAATTACATGCCACCGGATGATACATTGTTGTAATAATGCTTCTTACTGTTATTTTATGTAATATTTCATTCTATTTCAGTACCTGATTTCCAAAATTACCTCAATGCACACTGTAATAATGTATGCAATGTGGTAATATAACTGCTTACTTTCAAATATAATAGTTTAATTGCTTGTCTTTAATTGGAATACCATGAAATACTCGTAATTTTAGTATTTTACACTATTTTTATTCATGTATTTCATTGCACGCTACACCGGGTGTCGCCATATTGAATTGAGAAACTAGAAATACTAATTAAACATTGACTACATTTTTGTTCTGTAAAATATTTCATGATTTTCATAAAAAAAAGTTTTTTTACGCAATCAGCTGTGTATATCTCTTAATACATCTATATTAATATTCAATTATTCGTATTTAAATTAGCTTCATTATTACGGTATATTACACGATTGTTGCAATAACAATTGTTATCTTTCGTGCAGACTGGTGCAGACGATTTGCAACGCAATGTAACGTGTGCAGATGGCAGGTCGATCGAATTTATGTTATCTGATCTCCTGGAACATAACGGACCGGGAAGTTTGAAACGATATAAATACGGGATTTCCTCTTTTACCTGTTTCAACTCTTAATGACACGCGAGAAAATTAATTGATACACAAAAGAGTTAATTTATACTGAATCTAGATAAAGTTTATATTACACTAATATGCGGACAAGAAAAGGACTGACTGTTCGCGTATTGGATGATAAAACAACAGGAATAGCACCGTGAGTATACAAGTTCATTCGTTCGAAGCTAAGTCAGCACTGTCTGTAGGACAAGTGCCTTAAAGCGTCGTCAGTCGTTTTTCTTGTCGCGGGAAATTTTTAGAGTAAAGGTGAAAGCGTGGAAAAGTTTCTTGACAGATTTTCGCACAAAAGATAAGTCAGCGGAAGGGGCCAATTGGTTGCCAAATTTGGTTGACAAAAAAAAGGCCCCGCTAAATCGTGCTAACCAGGGCGCGAACACGTACGTCGGGCCAGCATGACCGTTGAGTCATATTGCGAGGGACTTCCAAGAGTGTTTCCTTTATTTATTACTGCTTATAAAGAAATGGGTCTTCAGTACAAAAGGAGGAGGTATACAAAGTATTAGGATGCCGATGTTATAAGACAACCAGAGCCTTATATTTTACGTACAAGTAAAAGCAGTAACTATGGCTATGTATTTTGAATATTAACTGGTACTACGAATTGTGCCTTGAATTTCGCGGTAGCAAATCAGGAAATAAAGAACTCTACCATACCGAGCGATTAAGAGGCAGTAGTGACGGCGCTCAGTCGAACTGAGTTCGCCACATTTATTAAATGGTTAAGTAGTCATATGGATGATAACGAGAACAAGGAGGCTAGAAAGTGGTAAACTCCTTTTTTACGTGACTTCCTTGACTTCGTAATCGTACATATTTAGGATGGTGGTCCAGGAAGAGACTTCTGTATTAACTAGTGAGCATCAAGACGATCAGGATACTGAGATTTCGAAGGAGCAGAAACAGTACTCGCTGGAGAGTATCCTTTTCCATACAATATTTACTTGACACAGATTCTAACTTCAGTAAGGTGCCATATGTCAGTCATATGATTTGTCAAGACCTTGATTTAGGATTGCACTTAAATTGGTTAAGTTGTTTAAATAAGCTAAATAATATTTGGGTATTCCTTAAGCAGAAATGTAGTTCTCAAGATAATTAAAGATGCACAACAACAGCATGGCTTACGTCACAATGATTACCAGCGTTATCGAGGATACTGTTCTAGGCGATTAAGACGTCTGCGAAAAGTTCTTAAGGTTCCTCAAGGGGACAGGAGACATTTCAAACGTCGCGATGTCACAAGCGCGATGGTTAATGATGATAAATTTCTGCAAGTTCCATTGACGATGGCTGAGCGTGCTTGGAGTTATGCCATGCAGCTTCGGCAGGAATCTAATACCGAACCTAGGAAGAAGTTTCATCTTGTTTCGCGTTTAAGAAAAGCAGCTACGTATTCTTTACAGTTGCAAGAGCTAATTGAGGTTTGTGTATACACAGAAATCGCATAACTAATGTACTTCATGCTGTAAGTTGTTTTATATTATTTTGTTTACAGAGTATCAATTGTGATGCTCGTACAAAATTGGAGGCACAAGCATATGTAGCTTGGATACATGGATCACTGCACTTTGAGCTACAGCTATGGAAACCTGCTATGGAGAATCTAAAAAAGGCTCAAGTAGTTTATGAAAAGCTAGCATCAGCCTTACCTGATGTGGAGCAGCTTATTTATAAGGCTCGAGTGGAAGAGCTTGCTCCAAGCTTACGTTACTGTGCCTATAATATTGGAGATACCTCAGCCATTGATGATCTAATGCAAATGCGTGGCCAACTTAGTGGAGAGCTCCTGGCAAACTTGGACTCTTTGATGGCACAGACACGAGAAAAACAAGCTAACACAGAAGAGGTTGTATGGCGTGGAAAGTCTTGCGGTGCTGTGCCATCCCGTGCGGCCGGATTGCTGATTGCTGATTCTCGCCTAAACCAGACCCTGTCCAAGGCAACCAGTAACCAGGCTAAAATTGATTTATTGGAAGCGCACTTGATCGATTGTAAGGACGCAATAGCTGCCGTTCGCGAATTCTTTAAGAACGAGCAGAAAACCCGAGACACGGATAAGAACAGCCCGTCACAGCATCTGGTGTCCTATTTACAGTATATCAGACTGTCCAGGACTTTGGAGCGCAACTTGGCTCTTGTTAAAGTAGCACAGGAATCGGAAAAGGCCAAGCCCCAGGATATCGTACGTCTGTACGAGGCAGCATTGCATAATCTAGTAGAGATGTCCCAGTTGCAGGATGACGAGGAATATCTCCAGGAACAGGACGTGAAGACTAAAGGCTATCGTGCCTTTAGGTGCTTCTACATGGCACAATCTCTGGTGAATCTACATCGATGGCGCGAGGCCATGGCTCTGTATCAGAGGTCATCGCAGCATGCCAAAGATGCTCTGAAACATGAGTCCATTCTGCCTGGTGACTTGAAAACCGCACTGCGAGAATTGGAAGTCTCCATTGAGGGTGCGCAATATGCAGCCCATGCTCATAGTGTTCTGGAGGAGGGTCAGGAAGAGGAGCCTGGAACTAACAAGCAGACTAAGAGCAAGAAGCCTTTGTGTGAAAGATTACATGAGTATAGAGAGGATTCATCATTGTTGACTAAACAGCCAAATGTTTATAAGTTACCACCTCCGATGCAGAGTATTCCTTGCAAGCCACTATTCTTCGATTTGGCATTCAATATGGTGGAGTTTCCAGATCTTTCCAATAAAGTTGGGGATCAAGGGAAAAAAGGAGGCCAGGCTGGTCTTACTGGATTCGTCAAAGGACTCTGGGGATGGGGCAATAAATAAAATATGGTGCCTCGTTAACACGGATTTAAAAAGTCGCAATTTTTGGACGGGTTGCTGAGGCAGCAATAACAGGACTCCTGATACGCTATATAATTTCATTTTATTGGTATATGGTCTTCAATACTCGTACAGGATGCTTCATTAACTCGACAGAAATTGCGTTATTATTTGTATTAATGGTATGCCGTCAAATAAAGATGATTTTAAACAATTATTATGGGGTATCTTTTTTATGAGCCTTGGCGAAACTCAAGTATTCAACTATATTTGTATCGAATCATTGAAGAATAATTCATTCAGCTTTTTTCTTTTCTATAAGACAGTTCGAAATTATGGCAATCTTTGGCACTGAACAAAAGATGAGAAAGATGAGGGATATTTGTCTTGATCTATATTGTCTTGATCAGACATCATAAAGAACCTTTGATGACTTCGATAGTGCTTTGTCCAGTCTAATGTACCTTAGCTAAACACACATGTAAATGCCAATCAACATGATAAATAGCATCTATAAACATTAGGTATTGCCATCCATCACATCAATACAATGAACAACTATCAGTACTATGATAGACTAACATGACAAGTATCACAGTATCATTGAACGTTACCCCATATGTTTCCTGTGCTGTGAATTCATGAGAAATTTCTGAAGATAGGACAATACTGTGACACAATAACAAAAATTATAGTAATAAACAATGCTATCAATGTTTGTAGCTAAAGGAATCCTCTGAGTAATTTATTATTAAAAAATTCTCAAAGTATATACTTCCCAATAGACAAGTTTCTTTTAAAATTTGACTTTTATATGGTTGCTGTATAATGCAAAATATATATTTCATTGTAGTTACAACAATATGTGTTTACTAGTGTTAGTTTATTTATTGTTTACTAATATCAAAAATTGATTATGGTTATACCAATAAATATTATCATTATAGGTACGTTTGTTCCAAGAGATAACATCAAAATAAGATATTATCCCTACAATTTGTGTAGAAAGTAATAACCAGCTACAAGGCCATCATCGTTAAAATACATTGAAACCATTAAAAATGGTGCAATCCAACATTCTGTTTACTGTAAAACTCCAATTTCCGAAAATTAGTAATTTTTTTTGGCTTTCTCATTGTTATTACTGGTTTATCATTTTCTCTTATTATTAATGCTATAAACAGGTGTAGAAAAATGACGCTATCGTCAAATATGGCAAACACAAGAGTATTCTTTTCTACGGTTCTAAGGCGCCATTACCTTCTAAGAGCGATTGGACGTAATTTAATAGCGAAGAAAGAAAAAGAAAAACGCGACGGAAAAGCAAAGTTGGTAACAGCAAGGATAAGTACTATGCGAGAGCCGTCGACATAGTTTTATGCATTTTATGAAACAGAGTAATTAAGGAAGTCGGTTCACTCAGAGTGGAATTTAAGAAAAAAACTGAAAAATAAGAAGAGTAAGAAAATTTGTTATCAGTATAGTTTTGAAGCTGCCGGTATATATATTTTATGAGAATTATTGAAATTCCAAAAATTATTTAATTAAGTAAATACATTATTTTGTCTCTCGTTCAAGTTAAATAATCATGATTATTGAGAATATATTTTATTTTAAAGATTTAATTTCTTTCGCATTTTTTCTATTTATCGGTAAAGGTGAAATTGTACCATGAACTATTTGTCCGACACAATCAATACTCGACAGCCAGTAATAATTCGTTTCACCTTCTCTCCTGTGATAAACTTTCCTCAATTCTATCATTATCGCATAAGTACTAACGTCGTGGAAACTTGTCGCAATGAGTTATCCCTCGTTAACTTTGTTAAGTTTTTGTTCGCGTTCTTACTTTGCGGAAACATATCCACACGTGACCGACGCCCAATTCTATTCCCATTCACTGCAATTGAGTTCCTTGATAAATCGATATACCACATCACAAATAGATTAAAAAATAGAATTTCTACTTACATCATCTCGAAGATACACTTTTTTTTTCATTACCGTAAATTTTCTGAATGTTATACTGATGACATAAGGCGTTTACAATGATTTATGCTTCAGCAATAATTATTTTCTAATTTTGATAATTCTCTTCAGGTCTGAGAAGCAAAAAGTGTTCTGTGAGAAAAATTTTCAACATTTCATCCACCCAGACATAGTATGGAGTAATAAAAAGATAAAGGAAAAATGATAGTCTTCTGCTTGTATATGTATTTCGTATTATTACTACCGGCATAGAATCAAAAGAAATGTCTGTCACATATGTCATAGAAATGCATTTTCAGAGTGCATATACCCTATTCGCCTTTTTAATAGCTATACATTTGCAGTTACCGATTATACGCGTGTAAGAAAGGTTTGTGGATTGGATACATTGGATAACAAGGAAAACTACATAGGTATGTTCCAGAAATTTATCTTTAAACAAGCAAAGTTACAACGTAAAAAATGTTTCGTATGCGTACAGTGTATTTATTTTTATAGGTATACGTACACGTGAACTGATTCTTTCTTTTTTTTTACATATGTTAGACCAACACGTAAGTTTTTGCGTTGATCCCTTCTTTGGAAAGAACAAAAAACGTAATCCGATACACAACCCCCTTGCATACTAAACATTATCCCTACTCTTTCCGTTACTAAACGGCAGGCAGTGCCACCTTGCGGGAAATTTATCAAACTCTAGTAAGCCTGCTTTTCATCGTGTCTTACCTGTCCCTTATCATGGGACGATTAAACTTTGTTCACAGTTCATATAATGATATAAAGCATCTCCTCATCGTATAAGGCAGTCACAACAAAAGGAAGTAAAATAAAATTCTACGTACAGTTAAAACAGTTCTGGTCTATAGTCGGTTCAAGATAAAAAAGTATGATAGAGAGGACTCTTTCGTATCTGTAACCACAGTAAGATGACCCCTGAAGGCATTTGTATAATGGATGGACATCGCCGTTAGATTTTCGTGTATGAATAAGAATGAAGGTATCTTTGTTTTTCTTATTTCTCTACGTGCCAGGTTATCTATCCTATAATTTATTATCACTGATTAATTGGACGTTGTCAGCACAGTTATTTTTCCAGACACACTACACAGCTTTATTAACCTCGAGAGTTAAGGAAATTTTCAAAACTGACTACAAGCACGGAAATACGTAGATGACTTGCTTTACCTAATTTACGTGAATACTCAATGAAACCTTGTCACGAATTTACAGAGCACCTTTAGAATTGTAAAGCAGTGTACACACGTGTAAAATGATCGTGATTTTGATGCTCTTTGGTAATTCTCATTCCGTTCACGATGCACCAATTTTCTATTGCATTACGCTGCAGTATTCTTGGATTTCTATTAGTTCAGTGCAATTGTGCATTTCAGTCAGATCACGTATTGCCAATAGTCATTAGAAATTTCAGTAACAATTGTCTTGTATCGTTAGCTTGAATATATTGACTCTGACCGGAAAGAAAAAAAAATGTGCGAACTAGATTAACAATGATGGATTAAATTCGATATATCACTGTTGATCATTGTAACTATCAGAAATAGAATTTATTATCGTCTTGTATACACAAGAAGATTTATAGGATTCATGAATTCTCTTCATATTTCATCCAAGTGGAATCTTCATTAATGCTAGTGCTTTAAATGAACTTTCTGTCGATCAGACTTCAACTGTCTGACTAGTAAGCGTTATTCTACTTCTGTCTGACTGGTATTGCCCTCTACTACTCTACAGAGTTCTGCTTGAAACGATTCACGTTGCTAGACGCGGAAAGCAGTTGTCAAGCGAATTGTATTCTTTCAGTAAATTGTCACGTCTGATCATAATGTCTCTGTTACTACTGCGCAATGCCAACTGCAAGCTGAATATTACTGGGAGGAAAACGCGACGGGCATGAAGATACCAAATTGTCAGCTATGAAAATTGAGGAAACGTGACAGACCAGAAAGTAAGAATAAACATTTTTATCTTTACTGCTGACGCGGTAGGCTCGTGTTTTGTCACGATAATAATATTTTTAGAATTTAAATGAAAAATTATTACAACTTTTCTTAGATAACTTACAAATTTTCCAAAAATTTATCTACGAATACAACATGGGCGGTTATACGTGGAAAAATTTTTTTTACCAACCTGGAGACAAACATGTTGAAGTCGTTGGATGGAAATTATATTCTGATTTTCTGCAACGGTGTATCATTTGAATAGTCAAGCTTATACTGTACTTTCGCAACTAATGCAAACTGCACTCTGAGAATATTGCCAGTGCGTAGGCCGGCGCCTGTCGTCGGATCGATGGGATTTCATGGTCGTCTGCATTTAATATACGGAATTCTGGAAAGGAGTAATTTATTTTTTGTTTTATATATTTCAAAAATCTCATTTGATACACGTACATACTTTATAGTAACGGAAATGAAATTCGTTGAGGCTTCCAAGTAACAACGAAATACTGAATTCCTGTGACGACTCCTCGAGTTTTCTTTTTATGAAAATCGATAACGGTACAAAAATCGTATATTTTTTTGACGTGCTCATCCATGTTAGATATTTGAGGAATATTGATTTTACATGATCGGATTTTTTAGGCATCAACTGTGATTGATGATTTCATAAAATTGCGCAACATTTCTTTTGTTATATCTCTAATCCGTTCGTTGTTACATACTTAGCACCTCTGAGTATTGGATTTTAGACAAATGCATGCATAATTTTCTATGCGATGTTTGATATTGCGGAAATGAGTATTTATGCGAAATATAATATTTCTTATTTTATCAATAAATAATCAAAATTGACAAATTTTTAATGTCGACCGATTCACCTAATTTTGTTTAATCAATAACACAATGTCAATTCATATAACAAGATTCGCAAGACAATTCCATCGAATTCCGTTGTTGATAATAGCAATTATTTCGTCGAGCCTACAATTCCTATTCTGTACCGAAATTCATTTGAATCAGAAATTGCATCATAACTCTATCGACAGGCTCGATTAAACGCATATAACGGATATTAGGTATACCTAATGACTGAAATTCGTGAAATCCCTAAGTTTTCCAAAGTGAACTACGTCATTCTATGCGGCGCAGTAAATTCCTCTTAGGAATTATAATATTTTCCGTATCTACGCCAATGGCTTTTATTTTCTCAAGATAAATTTATATTTCTTCATGTGAAATTTATGTAATTCACGATAATGATCTAGGATGAAAAGATGTTAAGGATTACTATAGGATTTTCAGGATTTCCAGGTTTCTCAAGAGTGGCTACAACTCAGATCGATGTGTCGCCAGTGCTGTGTCATTCGAGTGCAGCACCCCGTCGCCGATGCCGACGTTGATCGTAGCAGCCGAACTCAAGTTAGTCGGTGGCCGGACGTCGCGACGTTCGCATCGTGTCGAATATTTCGTCCTATGAAAAAAGACGCGCGCCACGCGAATTTTATTTTACGTTTGTGCTAAACATAACCTAATCTTGTGCTTTTCTAATCGCCGTCCAATTGGAACTTTAATGAAGCAGTTGTAGCTGTGAAAAATGTATTCATCATTGCATCGTATTCGACACTGATGGTCTGTATTAATGTTAACGATCAAACTAAAAAGCCGAAAAAAGTCAAATATTCCATCGAATTCTTTAGACGTCAGAAAAAAACAACCAAAAATTGTTAGATGTCTAGACATACTTTCCCAACGCACCGTCCAAAAGCTGTTAACGCAAGTAAACAAACTGATATTTTCCTGTATAAAAATTCTTACCTCCATTTTGATAGGAAATTCCCATAAACTTTTCCTTAATTTCAAATAAAGTCAAATCATTATAGCAGCCTCAAGAAAATTTTAACGAACTTACCTCATAGAAACCATATAAACGTTGCAACGTGTCACCAAAGCGTTTTTAATTTACAAAACCAACATATTCAAAACAATTACCTCAACTAATGACTGTAATAGACGTTTCCAAAAGTCATTGAATGACTCGTTGATTGGTTAACCATAATTACCAAATGGAAAGTATTACACGGAATGTCATTTGGACACACCCAGCAATGGAAATGTTCGTTTCTAAAATCAAAAATAAATTCAAGAACTGTTATAGAAATACCTAATTCAGTTTTACCGCCGTTTTACTTCTATCGCCACAAGATTGTCCAAGTGGTACGACGGTGTCGAAAGTGACTTCGATTAATCGAAATAATTAAAGACGACGCCTTAAGTATTTCACGTTACGTTTAATCAAACGCTACTCGTTGTTACGCGTAGAAGAGTCAGTGAGTGAGTGAGTTTCTTCCTGCCTATCTGCCTGTCAACCTACATAGGTACAACGTTCATGAAATTCATTAATTTTGATGGCTCTCCAGGATTGTTATGATTTGGCGGGATGATGGGGTGTGAGAGGCAGGTAGAGAAATTTCCGCATGACCTTGAAACACGGGAATAAGATTCAATGTCTCATTATGATTGAACATAAAAATCATAAAGGTTAGCTCTACTTTTTAGCACATTCAATATCCGTACTTATAATGTGGCGGGAAATTTAAAAATACGTAACCACGATCTCTTTGTCAGTCTCTTTTCTTTACCTGTCTCTCGATCCTTTTTTTTTTATTCGCCTGTCTATTAATCAATTCTGTAAAAGTTAGACTTAATTCCTTTTTGTTCATTTATTATAAATAATGCAACCACCAGTGTCTCCTTGATGGTGCCGACGGGATGATGAATGCCGAAAGGTTGGAAGTCAATTTCGAAATTTCTCAATTAAAAACAATCTTTTGGATATAAACGGAAAGGGAATTTTTGGAAACGCGAAACAGTGAAATTCTTCATAGTTTATTGATAACTTCTTGACAGAGTGTACATTTAAATATCGCTTTAACAGTTTCGATCAATCGGCAGATATACGAAGTAAATATTAATAATAGTTACGTTAATTTTATTCGGATTGAACTATTATACTTTCGAACGTTTCTATTGTGCGGAGTTAGCGACTATTTCAATATGCTCGCAGCGCGACGGGTTGAGAAATCAATTATGCCTTTGAGAAATTTGCAAAAAAAATGTAATCTATGATCGTTATGAAATATCGTTTGAAATTTGCCGTCATTATCCGAGCATGAGTCACATATGTTTAATTCATAGGCACTATGAATTTTTTATTGGAAATCAAAAAGGAACGGATGTGAATTGGCTCGTGTGATTGAACCTTTAGTGAAAAGTACGAAGGCTGTGGATTCGTGTATGAATATAGGGAAAAAGAAGGAGATCAAAGTTCGACAATAAAAATAATGATTCGTTTAATATTGAAGGTTATTAAAAGGTAACAATGACGAATATATTACGTTTCTAGGTTAGTCAATATTCGTGCGTTTTAATGTTGGCAATAATTTTTTCTTCCTTTTCATCGCGTGGTTTCTTATCATTATTCTTTTTTATCTTTTGATATAATTCACTGTCTATCTGGATATTTGATGCTTGAATAAATATTATGAGCGAACAATTTTTTTTGGTTTCACCACAAAAAGGGAGAATTAAAAATAATGGGTAGGTTGACAATTGATATGGGGTATATTTAAGGGCTGTGCGGGAAAGGGGCGAAATTTAGACTGTCAAATGTAAAAGGGGGATCGTCCTCGAAGACACGAAACCCTTTTATGCCAAGGACGAG